GGCCTCTCGCGCCACATGCCGAAATCATTCGCGCGCCCTCGCGCGCGTGCTGGGAGGGGACGGTCGGCATCAAATAATACCATGCGAGCCACTGTCGCAGCATTGGCGCCACATGCCGAAATCATTCGCAGCGAACTCAAAACCGACTGTCAAACAACATGTCGAAACACATGGCTCCGCAACATCAGGTCCCAAAAAAGCGCGCGCTCGCGCTCTTGCGAATCCTTGAAGAAGCCCGAATTGTCTCAACGTGCTCATGAAATTCTGCCAAACGGGCCTCTGGCGCCGCACGCCGACATCATTCGCACGCCCTTGCGCGCGTTCTGGGGGGCGCACGGCCCGTGTTCCGGGCCGCTGTCGCGCGTCGGCCGCGCGCGCGCGTCGAACTCTTTCGAAGACCTGCATCGCCGACGCGAGGGCGCCGTCATCGTCTTCGGCGTGATCAGCATCGGCGCCCGCGCTGACCGCGCCGTCGTCGTTGTCAACGTCATCGCCAGCATCGCTACTATTATTATTATTATCATTATTACTACTATTGTCGACGTTGCCATGATACCGCGCCCGCCCAAGTCGCCAATTCGCGCGAAGTGCCCGCTGAGATGCGCCCAGCGGTCAGCGCCGCCGCGGCCGCGTCGTGCGCGCGAGCCATCTGGCCGCTGCGCGCGCGTGCTAGGGTCGGCACGGCCGCTAAGATGGACCAGCCAACGCCGAACACGCATCGCAATCGCAACCGCATGCATTTTGCAAACCACGCTGCGGGCGGGCGGGCGGATGATCGCGCGACCAGCGGAGTGGGCAACGCATTGCGAACAAAAAACGATATGCCTTTCCAAGGAAAAATGAGATCCACCGCGACCCCGGCTTTATCGGTCCACCTTTCTCGCAGTGCTGTTTACAAATGATTCTGTCCCATCGCCCATCCCAAATATGAATCCGCACCACCCCGGGCGGACGGCACCGACCCCCCCGCCACCCCATGCAAACACACCAAGCGCGCACCCGTTTATCAAAAATCCGCACCATCAGCAGTCATCAGTTTGCCAGAACCCCGCGCAACATGAACGAAGTGCACGCGCGCGCGCGTCGTCGCGCGCGCATGCCGAAATCATTCGAAAACCTTCGGGTTCGGAAGGGATTCAAAACCGACTGTAAAACTAACAAAACAATTCTAGAACGCACATGATTTCGCAACGCCGATTTGTAACAACAGAAGAAAGCGCGCTCTTGTGAATTGTTTAAGAATACCTAGGGTATTTCAACATGTTCAAACAATGTGACCCAACGGGCTCCGCGCGCGCGTTCAAATCGTCCGAACGCCTTTGCGCGCGCGTCGTCGCGAGAATCCCCTGCCAAACAACGGTGCGAAATGCGCGCGCGCGTCGTCGCGCGCGCGTGCGAAATCCTTCAAACACCCACGATTTCGCAGCGAGTTCCAAACCGAGTTTGCCAGGAAACATGCAAGACACACGATGTCACAACATCCGCTTTCAAAACAAAGCTCGCGCGCGCGCCCTTGCGAATTCTTGAGGGGCCCAAAAAGGTGTCTCAGCGTGTTCGTGGAATTCTGCCCGACGGATCTCTCTGGCGCCGCATGCCGACACCATTCGCGCGCCCTTGCGCGCGTGCTGGGGGGGGGGGGGGGCGGGCGATCGCGTTGCCTTAAACCGCGCGGGCACTCCTCGCGGCGTCGGCCGCGCGCGCGGTCGAACTCTTCCAAAAATCCAAAAACCTCATCGCGACGCGAAGGCGCCGTCGTCGTCGTTCCGCCCGGCGCGATCAGCCTATCAACACCCGCGCTTATCACCGCACATTCGTCGGCGCGAAGGTCGGTCGACCAGCGTCGCCGCTTCGTCGTCGCGCCCGCCCAAGTCGCCGACTTCTTCATCTTACCTCCCGCACTGAAGTGCCCGCTGGGGCGCGCCCAGCGGCCAGCGCCGCCGCGGCCGCGTCGGCGGCGCCAAAAGCGCGCATGGGTTGGCGCGGCCGCAGAGATGCACCAGCCAAAGCCGAGCATGCATCGCAATCGCCGCCGCATGGTTTTGGAAAACAAGTTGCGAGTGGGTGGGTGGGATGTTTGCAGGGGCGTGGGATGCGTCAACTCATGGGTGCAAAAAAAAACACTGGCGCCATATAGATTGCACCATATGGAATGCGTCGCGTAGCTTCTCAAAAGAGTAGACGCGACCCCGCCCCGGGATTATCGAACCCCCGTTTCCTTTTGCAATCTGCATATTATTACGCCCCATCGCCCATCCTACATATGAGTTCGCACCATCCCAAGGGGCCGGCATCCACCTCCCCCCGCCAATCTCCGCAACAAATTATGCGCGCGCAGTTGTTTATCACAAATCATGAACTTTAACAATAATGAAACGAAGCGCGCACCCGCGGGCTGTCGCGCGCGCGTGCCAGAATCCTTCAAAAACCTTCGATGTCGTAGAAGATTTCAAAATCGAGTGTCAACGAAAATTCAGCACAGGGACTCGCAACGCGGATCCCCACACACACACACACAAAAAAAAAAAACGCGCGCGCTCGTGCGAATTTCTTAGCAGCACCCTGGATTTATCAACGCGTTCAGAAAAGGCGACCAAACGGGCTTCGCGCGCGCATGTCGAAATCATTCGAATGCCGTTGCGTGTGTGTCGTCACGAGAATCCTTTGGGAACACATATAACGAAATGCGCGGCGCGTCGTGGCGCGCGCGTTCCGAAATCCTTCCAAAAACCCATCGGCTTCGCAGCGAGTTCAAAACCGAGTGTCAAACGACACATGTAGAAGCACACTGCTTCGCAACATCAGGTTTCAAAAAAGCGCGCGCTCGCGCTCTTGCGAATTCTTGAGGAAGCCCGAGGCTTCTCAACGTGGAATTCTGCCAAGCGGGTCTCTGGCGCCGCATGCCGACATCATTCGCGCGCCCTTGAGCGCGCTCTGGGGGGGCGCGGCCCGTATCAACGAATACCATGCGG